TGCCTAGAGGCGAGACCCCCACCAACACACACACACCCGTGTGTGCACATGCATACACACACACACACACTCATGCGCTCTTCCACTCTCCTGCCACTTCCAGGACAAAGAGAAATCCCTGTCGGATCAGAGGCGCTACTCCCTCATCGACCCATCCTCGGCGCCCGAGCTCCTGCGGCTGCAGCACCAGCTGATGAGCACGGAGGACGCCCTGCGGGACGCACTGGACCAGGCTCAGCAGGTGGAGAAGCTGATGGAGGCCATGAGGAGCTGCCCTGACAAGGCCCAGGTGAGCCGCGGCCAGCAGGGCCCACCAGGAGGCAAGCCACGGGGCTGTGTCCTCGGAGTCCCTGTTTGAAGCGGGAGGCAGGCTTATCTTTAAAACCGTAGTCCGAGGAGGTAGGCAGCCCTGTCCTGGGAATGCCAGTCTGAAGGGGGAGGCAGCTGTGTCCCGGGAACCCCAGTCTGAAGGGGGAGGCAGCTCTGTCCCAGGAACCCCCTGTCTGAAGGGGGAGGCAGCTCTGTCCCAGGAACCCCAGTCTGAAGGGGGAGGCAGCTCTGTCCCAGGAACCCCGGTCTGAAGGGGGAGGCAGCTCTGTCTCAGGAACCCTGGTCTGAAGGGGGAGGCAGCCTGGCCCAGGAACCCTGGTCTGAAGGAGGCAGCCTGGCCCAGGAACCCTGGTCTGAAGCGGGAGGCGGCTCTGTCCTGGGAAACCTGACTGAAAGGGGAGGGAGCCCTGCCCTCTGGAACCCGCAGTTGAAGGGGCACATGGCTTTGCCCTGAGGGGCTTAGAGTAAGAAGGGAGAAGCAGCCTTGCCCCTAGAGGCTTGGTGTTTGGGGGTGCTGGGAGCCCCAGACTGAAGGGGTTGGAATTTGGAACCTGAGATGGTCCCATAGGAAGACCTCGCCATCTAGCGAGCAAATCGGGAACTGCTGCCTTGCTCAGTGTCTCCCCTGACTCTTCCAGATCATTGGCAATTCCGGTTCTGCAAACGGCATCCACCAGCAGGACAAAGCCCAGAAACAAGAGGTGAGGGGCGCCTCAGCCCTCCCAGGTCCCTCCCATGCAGGCAGACCTCTCTAGAGAAAATCCTTGAAACGTCACTACAGACAAAGATGCATTCTGCAAGAAGCTTTACAATAGAGTCACTCAGGGAGGGTGCTGTTGCAGGCAAACTTGATTCTGGATTCACCCTGCTCTTTTGATTTTTGTTTTCTTCCCTTCTTAAAAAAGTTACAGGTTGGGCGAAGTGGCCCACGCCTGTAACCCCAGCACTTTGTCTGGTCAAGCCAGGAGGATCACTTGAGCCCAGGAGTTTGAGACCAGCCTGGACAACATAGCAAGACCCTCTCTCTAAATATATATATATATATAAAAAGGCCGGGCACAGTGGCTCTCATCTGTAATCCCAACACTTTGGGAGGCCGAGGCCAGTGGATCACTTGAGGTCAGGAGTTTAAGACCAGCCTGGCCAATATGGTGAAACTCCATCTCTACTGAAAATACAAAATTAGCCCGGTAGGGTGGCACACAGCTGTAATCCCAGCTACACGGGAAGCTGAGGCAGGAGAATCGCTTGAACGTGGGAGGTGGAGGTTGCAGTGAGCCGAGATCGCGCCATTGCACTCCAGCCTGGGCAACAAGCACAAAACTCTGTCTCAAAAAACAGTAATAATAATTTTAAAAATTAACTGGGTGTGGTGGCGCACGCCTGTAGCCTTAGCTACTCAGGAGGCTAAGGCAGGAGGATCACTCAAGTCCAAGAGTTTGAGGCTGCAGTGAGCTAGGATTGCGCCACTGCACTCCAACCTTGGTAATAAAGTGAGACCCTGTCCCTAAGAAAAACACAGAAAGAGAGAGAGAACCTACCTAGTTCTGACAGCAGCACCCCTGGAGCACAGGTGCTCACTAGAAACAGGAGCAGCGTAGCCCCAGAATCTGCCAAGCTCCAGACGCAGGCAGGGTTGTGTGGGCAGAGCCAGCCTCAGAGGAGTCAGTGCGATTTTGTCCTCCTGGCCTTGTTTTCTCAGCCACCCTGCAAGGCACATGGGGTCATCCCAGTTCACAGATGTGAAAACTGGCCGGGCGCAGTGGCTCACGCCTATAATCCCAGCACTTTGGGAGGCCAAGGCGGGCGGATCACCTGAGATCAAGAGTTCGAGACCAGCCTGGCCAACA